AGTTTATTTTTTATTATTTATTTATTTATTTTTTCAGAATGGAGCTTCTAGTGTGAACCAAGAGAAAGACGAAAAGCCTTGCTTCAGATGTTTTAATGATCTCATGTCTCGTAAGTTTATTTGTTTATCTGTCCTCGTGGTTTTATGCACCCTGCATGATTTAGCAAAGTTTGATCATTTTTTGCATAATTTCTTATTATTAATTTCCTTTATAATTCTTTGTTAAAATTAACAGAATTGCATAATTTCACATTTTTGGGCTTAGTTTTCATAATTTCACAATTTTTCCCACATAAAACGACGGGGACAGGTTTATGTGTTTGTGTATATGTGTGCTTTTTCGTTTTTTTTATGTAGTGTTTTTTATTTATTTTTTTGTCTTCTGTTAAAAAAATGTAAGGAAATTATTCACGCATGTTGAGAGCATTATAACATTGCCTAAATTTTGTTTTATTTATTTATTTATAGATGCTGACAAAATTACGAGTGACAGGACGCGGAACTCGCTGTTTGAGGTGGCACACGACTTCCTGAGGGCCTACACCCACGGACTCCTCTCTCTCCCCCCTTCCAGCGTGCTCCTGGACATTTTTGGCAAAGTTAGTTGTTGTTCCTTTTTTCAGTTTTATTCTATATATGTTTGTTTTTGTTTTGTTTTGTTTTGTTTTTTTTGGTATTTTTTAAACCTGTTATCTGCTTTATTTTGCAATTGCTTTTAAAGGTTTTATTTGATTTTATTATTAGCTTATGTTTATTAACTTATTTGTATTTCAAAATATGTTTTAAAAGCATGGACATGGCGTACTACTTTTCTAAATTCAATTATAATGTGTGATTTAATTCTAAAAAACATTTTGAAAGGTAATTCTTTTAATGATAAAAGTGTATTGATCTACATTTTCACTGTCTTAAAGTTATTCCTTTATTCTTTTATTTTTTTTTCTTTCTTGTATGCACTTTCATTATACTCGTGTTTGCCGTTACCTTATAAAAAAAGATATTTCACCCACATGGTATATCAAGCTGTGCTAGGCTTCAGTTTTCCAATAAATTTTTAATAAATAAATGCCAGGTTTTCGACTGTTAAAGCCTTTATAAGTATTCAAGGAAGTTTTATTTTCTTTTTCCTTTTTTGGGGGGTAAGTGTTTTACAGTGCTCACAAGTGCATAAAGTCATATGTGTGTGTGCCTGGTGAAAGGGACAACATGTCGCATTTTGAAAAATCCCGTTTTTTGGCATTTTCTTGTACATTTCTGAACAATGTGCTTTTCAAATTTTGAAGATATCTTCAGTAGTTTTTGAGATATGGGCGATTTTGTAAGGCAGGGTACGGAAACAAAGTTTTGAGAAAAACGTCTCTAAAGTTTCACCTTTGTTTCTGCTTCAAATATACGTGTGTCTTACTTCATACAGATATTATCCTATTCTTATGGTCCTTCAACATTTCTCCTTTCATTTGCAATGCAAATTTTTTAGATTCTGGGTGAATTTGTTGAAACACAGTACCATTTTCATCTACTTGTAAAACAGTAGTTTGCAGAATCCAGGCCCACATTGTGTCTATCCAAACGCTTACTGCACATTCAACAGAAATCTACAAGAAGGGGTTTTGTTCAGTAGAGTCAATAAAGTTATTGATTTGAAATGAACAGTTTAAAACTAAATTAGCATTATTTTATCTCTGCTGGTCACTTTTTATAATGATCTAATAAGTATTTTTAAAAACATTTTTAAAACTCTTATATGGAGTGAATGTTAAAGTGCATACTGCTGTGTATGATCTCAGACTAGGTCTGTGTTGTAAGAATTGTGAGGCTACAGGCTTTTGTCTCAACTAAACAAGCATGGTGGGCATACCAGTAACTTTATGTTTAAGCCATAGGGGTTCAAATCCTTCGAAGGATCCTCCCTATTGTTAGGGGGTTTCCAAGGCTCACAGGCGTGTTCTATCACACTATCGGAGATTGATCAGATGTCCTGTCTGCAAATGAGGTTGAAATTTATTTAGTACTTAAATGGGATTTTAAAATTAATCAAAGTAAACAATCGCAACAAACATTCAAAACAAGATCACAATAAACAACAGAAAATTTCTTTGGAGATCAGGGGAAGTATTATTATAATCAAGTAGTATAATAATAATAATAAATTGAATTTATATAGCGCATTTCCACAAGGAAGTGCTCAATGCGCTGTACAATAATACAAAGAACATATGAAGCACACTGCTCCTATAGCAATCCTCTTTCTCTCTTTTTCTCTCTCCAGTCTCACTGTCTCTCTCTCCAGTACAGACAATCTCTCCAGTAAAGACAATCCCACAAAGCTTACCCAGACACCCTCGCACACATTGATGAATTCACACAGTCTTTTACCTTCAAAAGCATGTCTGGGGGCATATCTCTTCTAGCTTCCTCTATTGCTGAGTTGTAGAGGGATCTTTCTGCTGTAGCGTCCTCTAAGTGACGGAGCATTTCTCTAGCAGCCTGACTTTTTTTTTCTAAAGGGAGATTCATACATCACTGATGCTGAACAGACCTCTGCTGACAGTACCAAAATAAGTCTGTCGCAGGCGTGAGGTTGGTGATGAAACGGAGAAGTTGCTGCAATAGAGGAGCAAATGACCTATAAGAAACTTTCCTTGCACTCTGAGTCCTATCGGTCTCCTCGGCATACAAATCATACACTTGCCTCTTAGTACAATGTGTAGGAAGCAGCTTGCAGTCTGTGTTCCAGCCATAAGGCTGTCTCCCTGGCAAAATGATTGCATTGGCCTCAGCAAAATTTGAAATAAATCTCATGATAGCCGTTATTATGTCTTTAAAAGACAAAGTGTGTCCTCTAACCTGTTTGGAGCCCTTGTGAATGCGCTCCACAACACCAAGCTCTTTAAAATGTACCGCTAGATTTTTAAATCGTTTTGTAGACATACAATGTACAAATAAAAACAAATCTCGACAAACTGGCTGACCTTCGAAAAAAACCATGGTTCTTGGGATTGACCGAAAACTTTGTGCCGCCTTTTTTCACCTCTGAGTCAGCTCTCCTCTCCGCACAAGATGACAAATACGATAATACACACATGTCCAACTCTTGACGGGTGAGTTCCAAATGTTGCAATCTGGCACTCTCAATCTAGTCTCCAGGAAACTGCAGGTAGCAAGGATGGCCTTCGTAGTACTTGCAGTTGCTTGTGAAGGCAGGAGGTGGCTCCTCGGTAGCACACACCGACTCCTGTATGTAGGGCTTGGGGCAAGTACTGCGTGACATCCTCAATCACGCTGCGCTGAATATTTGCTGCAGAAAAAACAAAAACAGAGCACCCATTTTTCATAACAAGTCACCATTCTAGTAAAAAGGTTTTGCTGTTGCTGAAATAAAATGTTGTTAAATCATGTTCATAATTATTATTGTTTTGTTTAAAAACTTGATACCCCCCCCCCTTTCATCTCCTGCAACACACACACAGGCTAAAAAAATATCTTCACCACAGTAACTGGAACTTAACACTATCAATCTATCAATCATCAGGGTCAGAGGAAAACTTTTTGTTCCTTACCCACTTAACAAGATTGCCACATATCCAGATCTTAGAACTCAGACTCTCCCAGGAATAAATTAAATTTTGTTCTGCGTACATTTGGAATTAAGAAAACAAAAATGCACTACTATGAGTAAGCTAGATCTAGGTTTATCAAGAAAGAACAGCGTAGACTAATGATAATTATAATAAATAATTATTAGTTTGCTAAATCTAAATCTTTTTCTATTATAACTGTTGTTTTTGTTGTTGTTAATCTTTACCTGCTTCGCTCGATTCTGCTTCAAGTGCGGAGTCTGGAACTGGCGATGGCACCTCCAGATTGAACTCATCTTCTTCCTCTTCTCCCAAATCGACGTCAGAAACAAAATAATTGTATATTACATCTCTAATGTCTTCATCAGTTGCCATTCTGACATTCCAATACGTCCAAGAGAATTGAGATGAGACACAATTTCCTGCTCACGAATAGCAGTACTAGATCTAGTACTACTACTAACAGTAGTAGTAACAGCTGACAGCTCCGCCATGTTGTTGTGCTTGGAGACGACCTGACAACACAGTCGCATCTCACAAACCAACTTTAAAAAGTAGCTCTACAATAAAAGAACAGCTTCAAAGTGTTTATATTACGTCTTCAAAACAAATTCACCACCACCTTGAACAGGAATTTCAAGAAATACGGTTTGCACAGGGCAGAAATAGGCGATACAAGTTTGCTCTCCAAAGAAACAAAGGGGTATGGATGCGCAAAGCTTCGCTTTGTTTACATGTTCTAGATATTCATGCGCACTACCTGTCATTGGAGAGCAGAGAGAATGACCTATATTTTAGTTTGCATTGTGATTGGGTCGACTTTATGAATGGACAAGAGAAACCATCCGCAGTGTTAACCCTGAAAGCCAGTTTCCTCACGCATTTTTTGGGATTACGCAATATATCTCGGGTTAAAAAACACCTTTTAAAATGTATTTTAAAGTCAAAATAACCCAAATCCTTGTAAATATCAATAAATAAATGGCTAAAGAATCCATTTTTAATGGAACTTAGTTTTTGTCAAAAATTCTATTTTTGACCTTTGAAGCCTGATATCTCGGTTTGAGAAAATGCGACATGTGGTCCCTTTCACCAGGCACACACACATATGAGCGTGCTGGACACATTTTTAAAGTTTTATTTTGAATTTTGCCTAGGTGGTGGCCGAAGCCTTCTCATTCAAGGAATTTAATTTTTTTAACCCTATCTGTGCGTCGTGTTTTATTATCGTATCCATACGACATGGGGAACTCTGTGCCACCACTTTCCAAAAAGGAAATTTACTCGTTAATCTGATCCGTATGCTTTGCATAGCAGTCTGTCAAAATGATTTTCTGAGAAAAACTGAAAGTTACAAAGAGATTTTCGTCTAAAAGTATTCTAAAATGTGAAGAATACAACCCCAGGGGTACAAAATGCCCCCAGGGCATATGGATAGGGTTAATTTATATATAATCTTGTAATCTCTCCTTGCAAGTTATACACTTTCATTCCTCTCTGCAGATGGTCATCAACACGTTCACCATTGCAGACGAGTCTCTTCAAGATGTTGCTGTAGGGATCTATAACAGGTGGGTTGGCACGTTAGCTGTCAGTAAAATCTGTCTTGATTAAGAGCAGAATCTTAGCAAGTCTTAAACCGTATGGCACAAAATGTGTTGGTTTTTGGCAGGTGCTCTGGTGTGGTTTGCTCCTTCTTTCCTATCAAACATTTATCATCTTTATCTCCCCTCCTTCTTTTTTTATGTTTGTTACTACCTTGTAACACCTCTAATCTTCTGGCGCTCATATGACCTTATGCAGTTGCGAGCGCCATAAAACTTCTACTAAAACTAAAACAAAATTTGTGTAGACCAGTCACAACCCCAGAACTACAAGGTTCTATCTGCTCAGCACCTAGTTTTGAGAAATTTAACGTTAAAAAGTTTTGAGTTTCACAATACGCCAAGCTTTTTTTAATGCAATTCTTTGAATATCTTGATAATGAATCCAAATAACCGTACAATTTTGATAGAGCAGACAGAAAATTCGGTTTCTGACCTCATGGTTTTAGTAACTCAGAACGGCCTAACATGTCAGATAGAACTATGTGATTCTAAGGTTGTGCTGTGTTATCAATGATTTCATTTCTTCTTTTTTTTTTTTTCTCTTTCTGTTTTTTTTAGTCCTTCTATATTAGACCACAGATGCTACCCCAATGCTGTTGCTTCGTTTGAGGGCAGAACTGTGACCGTGCGAGCAGTGACTGACATCGATAGCGACTCGTATGAAGAGGTGAATTTCTATACCATCACTAATTTTCTATGATATTATTTGTAATGACACTTACATCAACAAATAATATTACGGTCGACCACGAATAAGTTGATGTCGTCAGGAGAAGTGAAAAAAAGATCAACTCATTCAAGTTCTTTTTTGTCTTTGTTACTTTCTTGTAACACCTCTAATCTCTGACTTATATGACCTAATTGTGTTGCAAGGGTCATAAAACTATCTGTGACTCTTTTATGACCTATTTGTGTTGCAAGGGCTGTAAAGAGAAAGGGGAAGGTGGAGCAGGCCTGTTGTGGCAAGGAGTGGCCGGGGCGCCAATGAATGAACAGATACGGCTATGGTGACATGCAACGGGTGAAAGTTGATCATTTGTCCCCAGGTGTTCCTAAGCTACGTGGATCCTCTGGCGACGATAGCCGAGCGACAAGAACAGCTTCAGCAACAGTATTACTTTCGGTGTACCTGCAGCAGATGTTCCTCGGACCATATTGTGAGTTGTCGGGTCTTTGGAAGGGGCTGATTTAAAGACTACCATGTTTTCAAAAGGGGCTTATATATATATATATTTACAAAGTCTATGTTTAAAGTTCCATCTCTTTGAAGGTTTTTATAAAAATGCTATGTTCTAGTTCAACTGTTTTTGTCTTGTATTGGTCAGAAAGATACATATTAGACACTTTTCAGTGAAAAAAAAAAAATCTAGACTTTTAGATGAAATTTTGTGGTTTTACTCTTTAGTCAAACTAAGAAACACAGTCTAACGTGTCTATAACGTGGGTGGCTGGCAGGTGCTTTAGTGTGTTTTGCTCTTTCTTTCCTATCAAACTTTCCCCCTCAACACTGGATGGTTGTCTTTGAGAGTTTCGATTGTACTTTTCCATCTTCAGCATAAATTGCCCTATCTCTCTTCCATCAGTTTATACGTTAGCCAGGGTTACTCCCAAATGTAAAAACTAGAAAATTGTTCGTGGCCTAGTGGTTTGGCTCTCGGACTCGCAACCGTAAGGTTGTGGGTTCAAATCCCGTCAGGGGCCGGACGTTGTGTCCTTGGAAAGGCAGTTTACACAAGTTTTCCTCACTTCACCCTGGTGGGAATGGGCACCCAGCTCTTGACAGCAAAAGATCTTGTCAGTTTGTTAATGTCGGAGCGCTTAATCAGCTGCTTGCACTGTATGCTTCTCGGGAAGCTGAGAATGTTTCAGAGTGTTCTATTGTCTACTGGGGTAATAATTTAATGTAATGCGCATAGTGCTTGCTGTTGAAAAGGGGTATGCGCTATACAAACGCTATTTATCTAAT